GTCGTGTAAGAAACAACATACACTTTAAAACGTGTCTCTGGTCGTAATAAGGGCATGAACAATCGGCCTATATGGTCGTTTTTTTGGAGGACAGGCTGGAATACTTACAGGTTGTGTACCCGAATCACTCACCCTGTCCAAACAAAGTAGGAACAGCATCGTTCTTCAGTGCCCTACGCTGTACATATCCGGCATGAATCCTGAAATGTTTGGGGAAGCTTTGTTTTTCGTGAAAGGCTGGCAGAGGGTGTGGCCTCTGGTATCCCCACGTCAGAGTACCCAGGAGAAAAAATGAAATCTCCACGAGGCGTTTTGGGGAGGTATTTTCTGTGTTAGAGTTTTACTCCCTACAGGTATACTTTGAGAGTTTGTGACTCTGCAGACCGTTTACATGCTTAAAAACCTTCACAACACACAAGGGGACGGGTAATAACTGGAAAAGCATGACATGGGACCTTTAAAACAAAAAAGGATGGCTTGTTACCTTTCCATTAACAGCAGTGTAGCCTATATGGTTTTACTCAAAATAATTATTATATGAACCAAATCAGATATTGAAAAAGATTCAATATTATTAATATAAAATTAAATGTGACATATTTCGAAGGCATGGATATCCAGTAATTTAAGCAACAACCAATCCCTCACATTAAACAAAAAATAATTTAGAAAAAGGGCATGAGAACAATTATGTTCCAATGATTCAACTTGTAAATTAGAAAAATAACATGGTAATTGTAAAACACGTTTCAAAATTATGCCCACATAACTACATACTGATACCGGTTAGAAAAAACATGTTTTCATGCTTTGACAAGTGTGCAGACAAGACGGCAGAGGAACACTTTTTAAATGTTTTCTGCATGGAGATCAGGCTAAGCTAACAACTCACAACAACGTCACACAGACAAAATAAGCAGCGACAGTAGTCTCTATGCCACAGACAGGCTGTGGTTTTTATATTTATAACTTTCTCCAGTTTCTGTGTAACTGTGACGGGGCTCTATTTGTCCCGTTCGAAAACACTGGCCTAGTCGGTTGGGTTAAGCTCCACAACTTTATTTACAGCAGCAACAAAAAAAGTGAACCAGCACACACTTTTAAACAAACAAAATAAACGTCCAAATCAGGCCGTCCATCTCTCACGGAGAGTAAACGTGTTCTGCTGTTGCCTTCACTGCAACATTCCCCCGAGTGCCCACTTCCAGGGCCAAACCGTCCCTTTTTAACCCTTAGCCCCTCCCACAGGCTTACCGTCAACAGGTGACACAATTAAACTCCAAACCACATTGTCAACATAAAAATCCGACCCAAACATAAACAGGTTAACTTCCTCTTAACACAATCATTTCCCATAATTAACACGCAAAATAAATAATAAATTGCATGGTTAATTTCACGGAAGAGAGCAGGAAATGTTTTGTGTGTGTGTGTGTGTGTGTGTGTCGGCTGTCAGTGGCAGAGTCACTCTGTGATCCGCTCCGTCACAGTAACAGTTGTAAATATGCAGTGGTGTTTAGTGTTAAATAGTTATTTGTAAATCATTTAGTATAATCACATAAATTCTGTGTTTTGTATTTAATAATTCTGTGTTCTTCATTTATTAAAATGTTAAATTACTCACTAGGTTTGAAATCAGTGGGCAGAACCTCCAAAATTCAGTCACTGTACTGTCAGGATTCTTATGATTTGTCACGTTTGTAGTTTTGTATGTCTGGTTATGGGTATTTTTCTCCTGGTATCTTTCTGGTCCTTCTTCCTGTGTTTTCCCCCCGTCGTTAGTTTCCTCTGGTGTGTCTAGTTGTCTGATTGTGTTCACCTGTCGCCCTTGTGTTTCTCCTCCCCTGCCCGGCTGTTTTCGTCTGTGTGATTACCCTCCGGAGCTGTCTGGTCTTCGCCCTCGAGCCCGGCCCCCTGAGAGCCCGGCCCCCTGAGAGCCGTGGTCTCCGCCCTCGAGCCCGGCCGCCCTCGAGCCCGCCCCTCGAGCCCGCCCCCTCGAGCCGGCCGCCCTCGAGCCCGGCCCCCTGAGAGCCCGGCCCCCTGAGAGCCCGGCCCCCTGAGAGCCATGGTCTCCGCCCTCGAGCCCGGCCCCCTGAGAGCCATGGTCTCCCCCTCGAGCCCGGCCCCCTGAGAGCCCGGCCCCCTGAGAGCCGTGGTCTCCGCCCTCGAGCCCCCCCCTGAGAGCCCGGCCCCCTGAGAGCCGTGGTCTCCGCCCTCGAGCCCGGCCCCCTGACTCTTCCTGCCGCTGCCTTCGCCCTCATGCTCGGCCCCCTGAGTTCGCCCGCTGTGGCCTTCGCCCCACCTTGGACTCTGCCTTGCCCCCGGGCCGTCCGCCCGAGATCCCTTCCGGGTCCTCCGCTGTGCTCCTGGCTGTCAGCCCAAAAACCTGTCCTCCAGACCCCCTCCACCCACCCTGGTGGCCCTAGTTGTGTGTCCCTCCTCCGGACCCCCCTCCACCCACCCATTTTCCTCCTTGTGTATTGTCTGGTCCTTCTTCCTGTGTTTTTTCCCCGGTTTGACTGATTGTGTTCACCTGTCGCCCTTGTGTTTCTCCTCCCCTGCCCGGCTGTTTTCTCGTCTTGTGATAACCCCTACCTGTATTTAGTCTGGTCTCGTTCAGTGTTGGTTCGTCTTTTGTTTGTGATTGAGTTCACCGGTGAGAGTTCTGTTTGTCCAAGTTATTTTTATTTATCCTTAAAATAAAGGCATTTTTCACAGTTATCTGCATTTGGGTCCTGCTTGCTTCACTCACCGTAACATGTACACAGAGGATTATTTTTGTGGGGACTTCCCCCTTCATTGTGTGTCCCTCACGTTTTCCTCTTCCCTATTTGTGAATGGTTCCACGTGAGAGGAGTCAAAGTGAGGGAAAACTAATGTAATAACTACTGATTTGTTGTATATCTGTTGTCAGTCAATGAATAAACGGAGATCGGCTCAACGATATGCTGGCTCGGGTATCATCCTTCAACAAAAGAAACACAACGCAGACACCGCTAATCGACACCAGTTACACGTGGACAGATATGAGGAGCTGTGAGCTCTCTGTGCTAACAGCTAATGGCTAACAGCTAACGGCTTCTGAGAATTTCTGAAAACCAGAATATGACTCTGTTAAGAAGATGTTTTAAAAATTGAAAGTAATAGGGGCTGGACTGTCTCCATGTAAGGAGCCCCCCAGGGTGAAGGACTCCATGTGGTGTGGAGATACTGAGGAGCCCGGCTGAGCTCAGCTGATCAAAGCTGTGTTCAGGAGGTCTTGGTGCTGTTATGGTGGAACCCAAAGAACCTGCTGGTGGAACCCAAAGAACCTACTGGTGGAACCCAGAGAACCTGCTGGTGGAACCCAGAGAACCTGCTGGTGGAACCCAAAGAACCTACTGGTGGAACCCAGAGAACCTGCTGGTGGAACCTAAAGAACCTGCTGGTGGAACCCAGAGAACCTGCTGGTGGAACCTAAAGAACCTGCTGGTGGAACCCAGAGAACCTGCTGGTGGAACCCAGAGAACCTGCTGGTGGAACCCAGAGAACCTGCTGGTGGAACCCAGAGAACCTGCTTGTGGAACCCAGAGGCTGAGAGAGAGGTGGAGCTGAAGGAGGAGTCCTTTCAGACTGGTTGGCCCCGGGGACTCCTGGAGCAGCAGACATGTTTCATATACACACATCAGGGAGGGGCGTTTGGAGACAAGCAGTGTTTCATATTCACTGGGAGCTACTGGAGCCTTTAGAAGATGTGAGAGATGATGTCATTGGTGGTGTCACTGATGGGCTTACCTGAGCAGGTGAGAGTCACGAATTTGGCAGCGGCACTTGCTTCTGCACACTCCCTCAGATCAGGTTCAGACTGAACACAGGCAGGACTGATCCCCCACACAGATCTATATGAGGACACATATCTCACTCCCACAGAAACAGCAGAGCCACAGTAGAGAACTCTGCAGACAACACCTGCTGTCTTCAGGGTCCAGAAACGGTAAGGGCTGAGAGAGGTATAGCCCCACACTGGTCTCCATTCTCCCTCTTGTTTCACCTCCAGAGTTCCTGCACAGCGACTCTTTCCTTCCACTAGTCTGACAACAGGCTCTGCAGAGAAACAAGAGAGAGATCAGAGAGAGAATAAAGTGAGTTTGATGAGAACAGAATGAACCAATCACAGCTCCTCTCTACCTGAGCAGGTGAGGCTAACAGCTGTGCCAGGTGAGCAGGTGTTTCTCTCTGAGGCTGAGCTACAGTCCAGGAGAGCAGACTCATGGCCTCCACACTGGAACTCTTTGGTCCCCATTGGAGCCTCCCCTTCTCCATAGAGCGCCCCCTGGAGGACTGAAGGAGCCCCACAGCCCAGCTGCCTGCAGACCACCTGAGCATCCTGCTGGTCAAAGTCAGCCTCACACACTGAGGACCAGGACGGGTTAGACTGGTCAGAGTTCACCTCCAGTCTACCTGAGCACAGACCGGTCCCATTCACCAGCCTGACAGAGTCTGCAGAGAACAGAAGATACAACAGAGAGAGGTCAAAGACACATAATAAAAGAGATGAAACAATATTTCAGATTCAAACATTCCAAAATGAGTTCATGATGAACAACAGAACACTTCTTTATATCAGCACAGGCTGCAGTTACCCTCAAATCTACATCTGATACCCTCTAATGCTGCGTTCACACCGGACCTGCGAAGATTCTCATCGCTCTAGTTGCTCTAGTTTCACCGCAGCTGTCAGCTGTGTTTACTCGCATTCAAACAGGACGCACTTGAGAGGAGGCGGGGCTTATCTCCACGTAGATATTATGGTAGATACAAACAACAACAACATGAACATATTTTACAGGGATTTAATTGTAAAACATGTTTCAAAATGATGCCCACATAACTACTGGTTAGAAAAAACATGTATTCATGCTTTGACAAGTGTGCAGACAAGACGGCAGACGAACACTTTTAAAATGTTTTCTGCATGGAGATCAGGATAAGCTAACATGTAGCTGCTCCGTCCAAACTCACAACGTCACACAGCCACAGAGAAGCTGTGAGCTCTGTGTACTAACAGCTAACGGCTAACAGCCAATGGCTAACGGCTAACGGCTGATGTTGTTGTTTCCTGATTCAACGTCAGTGATGTCAGAATGAGATCCTCACCGCTGATTAGCTAACACGTGAACAGCGTCGGGCGAATTAGACGTCAATAGCGTCAGGCGCTAAACTGAGATGTTCTGCATCTTTGCATTGACTTTACCTGTAATTGCGACGCTCGAAGATTCACATTGCGTCCAATGTGAATGTACCTTAACAATTAGCATCCATCTACATCTAAAATAAAACATCATCTGCAGATTCCTCTCTTCTAGTCCTTCTGCTCAGGTACCCAAACATCTTTGCTCAACACACAAAGACTTTCTTTTTCTGAGCATTTCTGAATGTGTGATAGATGATGTCATTGGTGGTGTCAGTAATGGGCTTACCTGAGCAGGTGAGAGTCACAATCTGGCCAGTGGAAAATGATTCTGCACAATTCCTCAGAGCAGATCCAGACTGAACACAGGTAAGACTGATGTCCCACACAAGTCTATGTGAGGACACCTCTCTCTCTCCCACAGAAACAGCAGAGCCACAGTCAAGCTCTCTGCAGACAACAGCTGCAGTCTTCAGGTTCCAGAGAGCGTTATGGTTCAATGTTCTCCATTCTCTCAGATGTTTCAGCTCCAGGTCTCCTGCACAGCGACTCTCTCCTCCCACCAGTCTGACAACAGGCTCTGAACAGAAACAAGAGAGTCATGTAGTTTAGTTGCTTGGAGCAGATGTAATATTTAATAATTATTACTAAAATAAATATTTTGTATCATGAACAACTAAATGATGATATAAACAATGAATGATAGTGATGGAACGATCGAGTTACACAGCTGAAAACCACCAGAGAAATGAGTACGTCATTATTCTTGTCAAACTGGAGGTCTTTATGAACCAGTGGTGGAAATAAATCAGAATCAGGTTTATCACCAAGTGGGTCGACACGTACGAGGAATTTGACTTGGTGTTGTGGTGCAGACATTAAAGTTAAACAAAAATTAAAAACACAGGTAGAAAACTATTTAAGAAAACTATAATAACATGAACAAATATAGAAAATGTAGTATAATATAGCAGTGTTTACATTGAAATTGGAATGAAATATACAATATATGCAGTAATAAAAACAAGATATTGTGTACATTGTGTGCATTAATGTAAATTACATTGAATTACAAACTGGATGCAGTAATATTGTGTGGTGTATAATGGAACCAGATACCTGGCACTGTAAACATAATTTAAAGTTATCTCCACCTTTACCGACTGCCAGACTGAGAGATACTCTTGTTCATGGATCATTCATTAGAATCAGTAGTGATGAAAATCAGTAGTGATGAAAAGCTGTTGATGGTTTGTTGTGTGTGAGGGTCTAAGGACAGAGGGTGTCGTATTGTCATACCGATATTTTGTACAAACTGTAAAGTCCACTGAGACAAATGTAACATTTGTGATATTGGGCTATATAAATAAACATTGATTGATTGATTGATTGATTGATTGATTGATTGATTGTGTGCATATCAAGAATATCATGGTTCACTTTTGGTCATGAACATGGTCCCAAGCTGTTATTGGAACAGTCTTTAAATGCCATGATGCCATGATGTTATGATAACGGGTTGTTTTTAATCACTTTAAGGGGATGTGTCGGTCGCGAACGAGTTAGTACAGAACTCACCGTATAACACCCTTATTACTTATCGTAAATCCAACCCATCGATTAGCATCGTAAGATTACACAGATTCGAGAGCTATCTGTATCATCACTCCATGATCAGAACTTGTGACATTAGAAACAAAAACAGACATCACAACACGTGGCATTAGGTAGCCAACACGGCAATATGTCTTACCTTTGTTGTTGTCTGATCAAAAGTTGTGTTCAATGGCATTAAAACGATAAAAACGCTGCTGAAGGTTAGTCCATAGTTAATCCAATGTGTCTGTGTCACTTTTAAATGATTTCTGATAATCCATCAGCAATAAACCTAGTTTTAAGTTTTCAGATTTAAGAGCGTAAGATAGGTTTCGCATTGGGAAAACTGTGCGCATAGCCCCCACTTCTCAATGGTAACGTTGGTGTGTATGTGGAAATTCCCCTTCGATTATATTGGCTCTAACGGTTCAAAAGAGATGTCAATCATCAAAATCGTCCAATGGGTTCCAGAGAAATGGCAAACATGCCCATTTCCACCCAAATGACCCGAGAGGTGGAGTTGTTTTTTAAAAACCTCCCTAAAAAGATCAAATGTCACTTGTTTTGCATCAATCTTGATACAGGGTACTTATTATATGTTGTACTTTGGATTCCTAAAGCTCTTAGTCTACTAACCCAT